ATAACTCAATTACCCAGCATGCATTGGTTTGAGGCAGTTACGTGACGTTTCCACATCCACTGCTGATGACGCTGGTAAATGGCTGGAAAGCGAAGGTGTCTGATTAAACAACACCATTTTACCCAGGCAGAATTTCTTTCTAAGGACAAAAGACCAACAAAAAACAGAAATGAAGATTAAGGACATAACATTCGGTGAAGTTTATTGGAAAATACGGAGATACTGAAGCGTCTCTAACAGTGTTTTCTGGGCCTGTTGCTAACGACGGGAAATCCTCGGGCTGTCGGCAGGCAAACACCGGGGCGACGGAGAGCAGAGGACCGAAGACCGGAGCTCCAGGCTGCTGCTCGACCGCCAACAGTTTTCATTGACTAACTTCTTCTAATTTTCAGAGAAACTCTCATTCTCAAACTTTGTTGCGGTTATAGATAAACCACCGCAGTTTGATAGTTTACCAAGCCTTAGCAGTCCGATGTTTACCTTTTAATACAACCAGAATCCCTGAAGATAGAAGGCTGGTTTGTTTCAGCTTAAAAAAATTACATTTTTAACTCCCAAGTTCGTTCCGAAAAGTTTTGAGAGATCGTTTGTATCCTTGTGTATCTCAGTGAAAGTTGTTAGCTTGGTAGCTAACCCATAAAGCTGTCTAGCTGTCGCACACTTCAGGCTGAAATGCGAAGTTTGTTAGCCTGATGGACTGTCCTGTGATGGCTTGCTCAATAATCCAGTGTTTGACTCCGAACTTATGATGCAACTTGCTTTATCTTGAAGGCAAACCCCTGATCTGAAGGATTGCAGAACCTGAATAGCTTTATTCAGCCTGGATGAATGCTCACAGGAAAGGTTGGATTTCACAGTTGTCTGAACTCGCAGGTTTCTCCTGTTCTGCTAGTCATCATTGACCCTTCAGAAACATCTGCTTGACCAGAAAGAGATAATTTCCTTAGATCTATTTGCTCCAGGAAGATCCTCATCCTAACATATTAAAATGAATCGTTATCTGCCTGTTGCACGGCAGCACTTCCTGGCTGCCCTTGCCAGCACCAGTGTGGTGGTGAAAACCATCAGTGCTGTGGTGGTCCTCCTCTACCTGCTCTCCTGGGCTGCTGACACCTCCTATGCTCTGGGGGTGACTCCTGGCTACCTATTTCCGCCCAACTTCTGGGTGTGGACTCTAGCGACCCACGGGCTGGTGGAGAGGCATGTGTGGGGCGTGGCAGCCAATGTGGGGACAGTCATGGCCTGTGGGCGCCTCCTGGAGCCATTGTGGGGTGCTCTGGAGCTGCTGATCTTCTTTGCTGTGGTAAATGTGTCTGCAGGACTCCTTGCAGGCCTCTCCTACCTCCTCACCTACGTTGCCACCTTTGACCTGGATTACCTGTTTGCTGTGCGCATCTATGGAGCCGGAGGTTTCTTGGGAGGTGTCCTGGTGGCTCTGAAGCAGACCACGGGGGACACCACCGTGCTCAGAGTTCCACAGGTCAGACTGAACGCTAGTCACTATAAAGTGTCTTTACAGGCAATGTGTATCTAGAGGGAGTGTAAAATGCTTTGCAAGTAAAACAGAGCAGAATTATCTGATCTGTAAATGCAGAAGAAGCAACACAAAATTGCTTTAGAGCTGAATTGGAAACATAACTCATTTTTAGTTTGTTGACAAATGGTTACAACTAAACCTTTATTGCACAAAGCATCAAAGCTTCAATTCAGATCAACACATTTTAACACCTCGTGCACAGATATTAAGGAAGTTTTGTTGTCAAGGATTAACTTAAATGTTGAACTTTATTGTGATCCAAGTCAGTTTTAAAATATAAACAAACCTCAGAATATTTATGTGCGCAATTATTGTGCAACTATCGATATGCCGAGTTATAACAAAAGGAATAAAATAGCATCTCACTTAAATCAGAATAGTAATAGTAAACGAACAACTCAAATTTTAATGATAAACATTTTGACACTTTAGAAAAAACTGAACAGTAACCTAAAGGGGTCCAATAAAAACCACAAGTCTTCCCTTCATGAACTCTTGTCAGACACATGATCAACCTTTTATGCAGCACTAGCCACCAGGAAGCTGTTCATCATAAGTCTCCTATCTAAAAACGGCCCTCCCAAGTTCTCACTAGGGTTTAGTTTAGTAAAGGATCAGGGAAATGTAATTATTCTGTACGCTTTAAGTCATTTACTGCCTAGCCACACTGTGGAGAACTCCACACATGCTATAGAGCATTGTCCTGTATAAAGATTTGGACTTTCTTTAAAGATTCTTTTCACAGATTTTGTCATAAACCATTGCTGGAAGAAATTGTTTATTAGAATTTAGCATTTTTTGTTTTGTTTTTTTAGTCAATTATATATACATTGAGACACTGGCTGACAAACCAAAATAGGGGATAATCAACACTTTCATCCATTTACCTGTGTCTGCAGCATGTGTATAGCAGTTGATACATAGATGTTGCAAATGAAAATTTAAGTCTACATGCCTAAGTTTATGCACTGAATTATTGTTCATTATTGTTTCACTGTCAGGAATAAGCAAGTGCGTTTTTGGCTTTTTTAAATTCTTGAGACCCTCAGGAGGATATTTAGGTAAAAATGTACTTTGAACTGTCTTCTAGGTTCCTTGTAATTTACTTTTCTACTTTTCACTGATAATTTTGTGGGTGCTCTCCCTTTCACCTCTCAAAGAAACATTTGAATATAAACCCTTCAAATGACTTGATTAAAGTAAGAAGTGTTGGTATTTGTGAAATGTTTATGTTAAACTGAATTTAGTTTCTTTTTATCCCTGACGAGCTAGAAATAGTTTATTCCTGGTGTTTTATTTTGACATAGAACTGTTAGGAGTATCATTCTCTACTCCTTTCTCCATAAATGTTTTTCTGTTGCTTTCAGGTGAGACTCAAAGCTGCTCCAGCTTTGGTCCTCCTCCTCCTGGCCTTGCTGCGATTGTCTGGTTTGCTCGACACCTGTGCCCCGCTGGCTGCCTACAGTTACGGTGCTCTGTCTGGCTGGGTGTACCTGCGCTTCTACCAGAGACACAGCCGGGGCCGCGGGGACATGTCAGACCACTTTGCCTTTGCCAGTTTCTTCCCTGAGGCGGTTCAGCCGGCGGTGGGCCTGCTTGCTGGGCTCGTGCATGCTGCTTTGGTGAAGATAAAGGTGTGCAGGAAGATGGTCAAGAGATATGATGTGGGGGCTCCCTCCTCCATTACTATCAGCCTGCCAGGGACGGACCCACAGGATGCAGAGAGACGGAGGTAAGTCAAGGAAAAAACATAGATTTCTTTTATTCCAGACCACCCGGTCTGGAATAAAAGGCTTCTTTAGGTTTTCTTTGTTCTGCAGCTGTGCTGTTTTTCCAGTTACAGCTTTCTGTGAAATCTCTCTCAGCATTTACTGTCAGGTTGTCAAACCATTTTTTCCAGCCTGAGGCACATCTGCAAGCTGCTTTTAGATATGGTTAATTTGAAATACCATTGGAAACACCCAAGTATTTAGTTTTTATTGAAGGTGTTAAATGAGCTCTGAGCTAAAGGTGTTCAAAAGTAGCCTTTTCTATTTGCAACCACTGATTTAACTGTTTTTGCTTCTTTTGGGGTTTTTTATAGTTGAACTTGAAAAATATTGTGACAAATGGATAAATGTAAATCATTAATATGCTTATATATTTCATTTAGCTGTATTACAATATGTGGGATAAATGAAAACATTTCTGCCGGTTAGAAAACACTAGAACAGACTGAATAATGTTTTACAAATGTGTTATTTTTGCTGACTCTAATACCTTTATTTCTAGTATTTGCTTGTATTTAGCTTTATCTGTCTTCTTATCAACTCCAAAAAGCTTCACTGTCCCTGCTATAGAAAATCATGGCCGCAGCATGATGCTGCCAGCCCCATGTTTTACCAAAGGGATGCTGTGTAGTCCTAGTCTTTTGCCAACTAAGACTACACGGTGTTTTCCATGTAGGCAGAAAAACACATGCCTTTGCCTTTCTCTTCTAGTTTTTTTTTTTTTTTTTTTTTTTTTGCCATCCCTTCAGATTGATTTGTTGCTTTTATATATGAAGTTCTATATGGAAGACCACTTTTTAGATACAGTATTTGATAGGTTAACATAACATTGTGTGTTAAGCTTAGAATATCGTTGTATAAGCTAACATGGCTATAAAGCATCCTGCTTCTTTCTCCCTGTCCTTTCTGCTGTGTTGTTTGCTCTTAATGAAGCTCTTTGTTCTCTAACAAACCTCTGAGAACTTAACAGAATAGTGGCATGTAAACTGAGAATAAAGAACACACAAATGGTTCTCCATTTTCCAAACGAGAGACTTCTAAATGCCACAACGGAACAGAACAGAACGGAACAGAATTCATGTAGGGTCTGTTGGGCTGAATAAAAATGAACGGCACACATTTGGCACTTTTTTAATTTCCCACCTGTGTTTATTTATAGGAATTTTTTTCTAAATGATGTAATGTAAAGTAAGCTCTCGAAAAATGTCTTTCCGCTAGACTGTGGGACTTTAAAATGCTTTTTATGGAAATGAGGGTTTTCCTCAGCTTTACATCAGTTTTTGCTGTTTTTTTTCTGTTAATCTAATCCATGCCCAGTTTTGATCATTTTGCTTCAAGCAATCATTCTTTTTCCCGTTGCTTCTTCAATGCAGACAACTGGCCCTGAAAGCTCTGAACGAACGTCTAAAGCGAGTGGAGGACCAGTCCGCTTGGCCCAGCATGGACGACGAGGAAGATGATGAGGACGACGAGGTCCGAACCGACACCCAGCCGCTCCTCTCTGGTGGGCGTGACGCCTCGTCCTCCTCACTGAGAACATCCGGTGGGCCCGCAGGTGCTTCCCTCTCCTCCGCCTCCCCATCGTCGGCATCACAGAGCACTGGGACAGCATCTTCAGGCGGCGTGCAACACTCCGAGTCCAGCATTATCACCTTTGAGGACGCAAGCTCCAGATCATAGCAAGATGAAGCCTGGTTAATGGAGATGCACGCTCTGGTCGGTGTCACAGACGAGTATACTGGCGCTTCAAGTGCCCCTGACTAGTATACATTCAGTAACGATGGTTAGATGTCGATATTTCACTCTACACACAACATCTTTGATGAGTTAACATATAAAATTGTGCTCTCGCAAACTCTCAGACTTTGAAGTGCTTTCAGTTGGGAGCAAACGCTCAGTGCATTTTGACAAACTAATAACTTAGTCCCTATTCTCCTTTCAAAATAAAATACATCTGTATGTTAGGACCAAGTCCCAGCCTGCAGGACCCCGATCACTGCTACATGTGTTTCACCTTTCTAATATCTCAGAACTATTGTGCAAATCTCTTTTTCCCTGTCTTTTCTGAACAGCCATATTTGTTGTATTGCCTGCTCTGCTACAAGAACATGATTAACACCAGAGACGAACGCTGAAGTTGGTGTTTCTTTGAGTGCAGACAGAATGCTTTCCAGTGACACAAGACGCTGGTTTGTTGGTTCCAGATGTACCACCAGCTAAGTGACGCAATGCACGGACAGCGAAAAGGTGTCGCCAACCTGCTGAAACTGAGCAAAGATGCTGCTATTGAACGGCCACACCAAACTTAGAGACTCGAAGACGAGCCAGATCGAACGTGTTCTCTCCCAGATGAAGGTGCTGTGGAACCACAGAGAGAAATGGAAGAATACACCGGCTT